CTTGTAGCTGCAGCTCTTCTGATGTTTCTTTAGGTGTCGCTGCAGCTCTGATGTTTCTTTAGGTCTTTTTTCAACATTGGTATTGTTGCTGTCTTTCTTGGTGCAACCTCGTCCGTTGTATATGCAAGTTCGTCGAGGGGTGACATCGTGCTGAATTGAAATTGCATTCTAATTTATGTATCTTTGTATAATTTTCCTACTTTCTAGCCTATTTTCTATCGAACTTGATTGAAGAGAAGTTTTCAATTGTGCGGTCGCTGCGTCTAATTATTTGAGCTATAATCCAAGGTATGAACAATCTACATAGCAATATTCTTTTGAATAGGCGAAATTGAAGGCGCAGCAATAAGTAGGTGATTTTTATTCCGTACGTTGTGAAGCAAGTGTAGGTTATGAAGGGTAATACTAGCTGTGTTATTAGTACGCAAAGCAAGGTTTTGTACCATTGCATAAAAACGTCAATGTGAGGAAAATCATGTGAAACGGGCGCCAATTCGTCCCCATCACTTGTCTGCCACGCGGTATATCTCAAACTTGGACTTTAACGTTTATTAAAAATGTATTTATAAAAAAATGCGAGAGAAAAACAGTATATGAAATGTAGATGAAATAGTGCAATCGCTAAAAAGGCGCACGATATGGCAAGTATGAATACTGTTTGCCGTTCAAAGCATTGCAAAAAATGAGATTTTGGAAAGGTATGCAAAAAATGTACAGCCAAACAAGTAAATTGATTGCAAAGAAACTATGGGAGATGATAAAGCATTATCAGCGTAAGATAACCAATGGCGAAACATACACATTGTAATCATGGAGAAAGAACAAAGGAAAAAACAAGGAAAAAATATAAGTACATCGAAAGAATATCAATCGCAAAAAAATTCAATTCATGAAATTCAATCACGCTGCCTCTGATCGCCACGCCACAGTTTATGTAGGTTCGTCGACATCTTTGTTGTGAGAGACGCAGTTGTTGCCCTTTCTTCGGTATGCTCCAGCTTCATGTCTTTGTGAGCATTCTCTTCGTTTGAATGCTCTCGCTGCTTCGCGTCTTTTCGAGAGCAAGATGGC